TTGCCTTATAAGCAACAGTGTTTAAGTGTTTGATGATTCCCACAAATCTAAAGACACACGTATCACCAAAATCTATCATTTGCTGTGAGTGGCATTGAGCAAGTCACTAGCAAGGATAGTTTCAGTTCCCACTGCTGTCAAAAAAAACTTGTTTTAGATAGAAACCTTTACCTTAGTGAGTTAGTTATTAGTATGTGCAACTGTGTTTGAATTCATTGTTATCCCTCCCTTCTTTGAATGGTTGACATTATTTTTGTGCAGAATTCCATTCTGATTTTTCTGTTCATCCTTTCTTCTCAGGGTGTAAGAGGAAATGACGGGCCCCACGGTCCCAAAGGAAACTTGGTCAGTGTTGCTATACGTTATCTACCATGTTAAAATGTAAACTTGTACTATCAGCAGATAATTTGTATCCGTATGTTAATGCTAAACTTTGTTTATGAATAATTCTAAGATATGATTCTCTATTCTTCATTTGTCCTTCACTCTGTCCTGCTGTTTGTTTTGCTGTTATCATCAATTTATCTTGTTTCTATTTCTGTCTCTTAGGGTCCTCAAGGAGAACCAGGACCTCCAGGTCAGCAGGGAACCCCAGGAACTCAGGTGAGACATAGGACAGCTGGCGACTGTGACATATTTGTGATATTAACTTTTTTCACTAAGTAATTGAATGCTCAAAAGCATTGACACAAAAATAATGTAACTCTGAGAGTGTGTATTCATTCCATAAATTGAAAATATACTTATTTGTTTGTTTTTTGCAGGGAATGCCAGGACCTCAGGGAGCCCTTGGACCTCCAGGAGAGAAAGTAAGAAACTAAAAAATATAAAGTTACTCTGCATTAAAAGTACAGCAAGATACAGGAATAATGGTTATACTATATTATTATTGTGAAGTGATACCACTTCAATATCTATCCGTTAAATATGAAGCTACAGCCAGCAGCCAATTAGTTTAGCTTAGCATAAAGACTGCAAACAGGAAAAAACAGGTAGCTCTATCCAGAGCTAAAAAAAAAAAACCATCTACCAGCACTTCTAAAGCTCTCTAATCAATCAACCCTGTGATAATGGCATAAATCTCTCACATTAAGCTTAGAAAGAAAGTGGCGATTTCAGCACTGTTGGTCAAGTAGAATACATAATCGCAGGATGTATCTGATCCCCGATCAGTGCAACCATTTAGTGATCTGTATGGGTCAGGGAGAATCAGAGTACGCATGATGCTGAGCAAAACCTTTGTCTCGCTCATAGTTCATCCATGTGTTGGTGTTGTTGGTGTTAGAGAATGAATTCTTCTCAGCTTGGTAAAAACACAGTTTTTAGCACAAGTTATTATTCTTGTGGTGTTTTATGGCAGTTACCAAAACGTTTCAGGGACAATACCACCGTCTTCTGGACTCTCATTCATGACCACCTTGTCTTCTCCACCAGGGTCCAACAGGAAAACCAGGTCTCCCAGGAATGCCCGGAGCTGACGGTCCTCCTGTACGTTTGTCTCTTCGCTTTGTCTGTTGTCATTAAAACTGGATTAAGCTGAATCCACTAACCCTTGATGTCCTTGGCTTGAACTCTCTGTCTTCCCTTCTCAGGGTCACCCAGGAAAGGAGGGGCCTACTGGCACCAAAGGAAACCAGGTGGGTGTCAATCAAAACCCCATTCCACCACCTCTCTTGCATCTAACAAACTCAATTTATTATTATTTATTTATTGTATGTATATAAACTTGTCCTTCTTTCTTTGACCTTCTCCAGGGTCCCAACGGTCCTCAGGGCGCTATCGGCTATCCTGGCCCTCGTGGCATCAAGGTCAGTACAGTTAGTCTTTAGAAATCAAAACAAACTGGTTTTTGATTGTTGAGGACTTTGCGTTGCATTTGCAAATTACCTGAACTAGAGACTACAAGACTTAAATATTTCCTAGCACATCAGTCATTATGTAATGCTTTCATTGCAGGGAGGTCAAGGAATCCGTGGGCTGAAGGGCCACAAGGGAGAGAAGGTAAGTGAATAATCACAGTTTAATACTTTAAAATATATGTCACTTATTCAGGACATACCCTCTCTTAAATCACAATTGCATAGTGATAATATGTACATTTGTAGTTCACTCACAAAAAAAAAAACAAGGTGGATTGTCATATAGTCTTTTGCTGAGTATGCAGTATTGTATGTTTTTTGTTTGCTTGTGTTTCTAGGGAGAAGATGGTTTCCCTGGAGTTAAGGGAGATTTTGGTTCCAAGGGAGAGAGGGTAAGATCAGTTTGTTAATAGAATAATTAATTGATGAATGAAGGGGTCGACTGACTGATCTTATATTTGCTGAGTTATTACTCCACTATTCTGACGGTTTAGCTTTGTCTCCTGCTCACAGGGTGAGCTTGGAGTATCAGGGCCCAGAGGAGAGGATGGTCCAGAGGGGCCAAAGGGTCGTGTCGGACCCCCTGGTGAGATCGGACCAATTGGATTAGTTGGAGAGAAGGTACAACCTGTTCAATTAGGACTAATTGAGACTAAATGATATGTTCTTAGTAATGTGGGAAAAGTTGAAGATATTCAAGCATTATTTCCTGCTTTGTGTATTATTCATCAAAGTGAAGGTCTTCTGAAAATTTGGATTTCAGGTTTATGCTCTGCCAGTGCAGATATTTCTTTTAAACATACCAAGATATTTCCCATTTCATTTCATTTCGAGTATTGCCTTCTATTTGGCAGTATATACAGACAGGAAATGTAATTGTGCTGCCCTCTTGTGGTTGAACATGTATGTGCATTTTAGTGAAATATGACATTTGAAGTGTTTTGATTTTGTGTTAGTTGCTGCTTACTATAGTAGTTGCTGCAACTAAACATTTGAGTTTTTGCAAAATATTTTGCCCTTAATTTTATTACATGTTAATATGGCTATAGCATACCCGAGCACAGTATTAGCTAATTCTCTTTCCCCTTTCATATTATGGCAAATATTTCTCAATTTGAATGAATCACCATAATACGATTTATTGTGCAATAGCTTGGTAATATGTAAATACAATTACAGATGTTGCTAAGTAACGGAAATGATTAATGATGTCATCATGTGATTTTAGGGTAAACTTGGTGTACCTGGACTTCCTGGATACCCTGGAAGACTAGGACCCAAAGTAAGAGAAACACACATACAGCATCATCCTCACTGACTCATTTATTCATTCAGGGTGGTTACTTTTGAGAATGGTCTAGGGCCGATACTGAGATGTGGATTTTTTTTTAGGGATCTCTTGGATTCCCAGGATTCCCTGGTGCAAACGGCGAGAAGGGAACAAGGGTAAGTTGATGGCTCTGTGGAAGATTCTGCTTCTCAAATCAGACTATTCAGCTACTTAAGACTGATTAGTGATCAAAGCGGTGATACTTATGTAGTCAGAAATATACAGTTAACTTCTGTCTGACTGAATCTGCTATTGTTGTTTTGTTTGTTTGTTCAGGGTCTTAGTGGCAAATCAGGACCAAGAGGACAAAGAGGACCAACGGTACCATTTCATATTTATTCATTCATTTATTTTATGAACTTGTCAGTTCATAAAAGCATAAAAGGTACTCTGCTCGGAGGATCAAGGTCTTTGACTTTTGTTCCACAAGCTGTTGAGCACAAATGGTGGTGCTGGTGGTATTAAAGGTCCAGTGTGTATTATTTAGGCGGCTCTATTGGCAGAAATGGAATATAATTTTCATATGTTTTCATAAGTGTATAAGGACCTGACAATAAGAATCGCTGAATGAGCCGTTTTTATCTACAGAGGGAGTGAGTCGTTGTCCACGGATGCTGACATGTTGAACTGCCATGTTTCTAAAGTAGCTCATAACGGACAAACCAAAAACTGGTTCTAGATAGGCCCTTTTGCAATTTTTTCAAGTTTCACAGACACTATAGTTCCTTCTGAATCCTTTAAGGCTGAGCTGTAATCAAATGGTTGCAATCTGCAACTTCACTGCTAGATGCCTCATCCCCAACCACACTGAGATACCTCAGTGTGGTTGTATGGGGTCAGAAGTGGGTGCTTTGTTGCACCTGTAACCCCATCCAACAGAGATGTCAGAGTCCTGTAGTACACCTGTGCATCACTGCAGCAATGCATGAAGTTAAACCATGGGAAAATTTCAGGGTGTGTTATGATATTCTTTAAACACTGATTTAATATTATTTGATTAATTTAAATCTTATCAAACACCAATAATCACAGAAAGCATTACTGTTGCACTGTTTGTGACTGATGAAGACTTTTTACAAATTACTGTTTGTGTTCATCAGGGCCCCAGAGGGCAGAGAGGACCGAGGGGCGCGACTGGGAAACCAGGAGCAAAGGTCTGGTATTATGTATATAAGTATTTTGATATTTCAGGTAAAATGCTTATCTTAAGCAAACAATCCCTATTCTGTGCCATCTGTTTTCTTTGATACTTTAGATCTTAGCCTCCATATAACCTGGTTCAAAATTGGAGTGAAGCCCATCTCAATAGTTTGTGATCCAAAACTTTAATTGTATTTACTGTGTTGTTGTTTTTTAGGGAACTTCAGGAAGTGATGGCCCTTCTGGTCCTCCTGGAGAGAGGGTGAGTGCTTAATTTTCTGTACATTTTCTGTTGCACTTTGCCAAATACATTTTTGTAAGACACTAAATGACTCTTTTGGGTATTCTTATATGTTCTTATTATATCATATGTTGCTGTTTCACCAGGGATTGCCCGGGCCTCAGGGAGCCAATGGTTTCCCCGGACCAAAGGGACCTCCTGTAAGAAAATCTTTCGATACCAGTTTCTCATAGACTAATTGTTGAGATTGTGTATATTAACGTTTCTATCACTTGGCTGATCATAAGAGAATTGTAGTACATTGTTCCAACTAGTCTTTCATTATTTGGGTTTGATGTTCCCTCTTGCTTGGAGTTAAAGCTCTCTTAAGGTGGAGATTTAATTAATGATTTTTGATTGATGTTTCCCTATAGGGACCACCAGGAAAGGACGGGCTGCCTGGACACCCTGGACAGAGAGGAGAAGTTGTAAGTTGTAATTTTTTACTACTACTAAAGATGGCTCAATGTTCCAGTTGTTTAAACTGATGGCTTTAAGACTTTACCTTGATTCTAGTCATGGCTTTCTTTTAGGAAGCAGTCATTCAAAAAATACACCTGATGAAGGTTGAACAGACCAAAATGTTAAATTTTTCAGGGATACAGGATACTCAGAAATTATGTCAGCGATTAGTACCAATAATTATTAAAAATTAACTACAGATGGATTTTTGTACTGTGGGAAAAAATGATTTATGTGTTTCAAGAGAGGTGAGGTGAGAGATGAGTTCAGACTTGGATTACACACATTATCATGCATCTAATCCGGAACAAGGTTCAACATTTCATATATTTTTTGTTAACTGATTTATCTCTCCTCCAGGGTTTCCAAGGTAAAATGGGTCCACCTGGGCCTCCTGGAGTGGTTGGACCTCAGGTGAGTTTTCCAAATCCTGGTGCAGAATTTTCTCATTACTGATACAGTAAATCAGTTTTCATAACAACCTGTTCTCTTTTCCTTTAATTTTTTTTTGTTCCCATCTTCTATCTATTCTCACCTTCTTTGCACCTGCACTTTATTTCCTCTACATCTTCCTCCTCCCAGGGTCCATCAGGAGAGACCGGCCCCATGGGTGAGCGTGGCCACCCCGGACCCCCAGGTCCACCTGGTGAGCAGGGACTTTCTGGTCCTTCAGGGAAGGAGGGCACCAAGGGAGACCCTGGACCCCCCGGGGGCCCCGGTAAAGATGGGCCTCCAGGACTGAGAGGCTTCCCTGGAGAGAGAGGACTGCCTGGAACCCCTGTAAATATGACCAAGAGAAATACTGCGTAGATCATCAGTCGGATATTATTATCTGCCAGTTGCTTTTAAGAAACCGTTTTTAGGCTTATATTGATCACTTTGATAGCAGTAAGTTCAGCTTTGGATAAAAGTGTGTAGAGCTGAGGTGAAATATTACTGATTATTCCCTTCTTGTCTTTTCTTTCAGGGAGGTGGAGGACTGAAGGGAAGTGAAGGACCTGCTGGACCTCCTGGACCTGCTGTACGTTTCAAACTATATGAAAACATTTTCACAACACACTTACTACAGTTTAAGGAATAACAAAAAATAAAAATTACAGTAACTACACTGCCTACCGCTGCCTGTGCATAATTAAAAAAAAGAATATATATAATATATATACTATATTGACTTAATAATACCTGCTGTACTCACTACTGTGTTTATGATGTACCTTTCTAGGGGTCTCCTGGTGAGAGGGGGCAAGCTGGTACTGCTGGACCTGTTGGACCCCCTGGCAGACCAGGCCCTCAGGGGCCTCCTGGACCCGCTGGAGAGAAGGGAGTTCCTGTGAGTACTCTTGTGCAGTGGTATCCAAAGAAATTGTCCATGTAGCCACAGAAAAAAAATCAACTGATGATTCTCTCCTTTGTACTTTTTCTTCTGCTCAGGGTGAGAAAGGCCCTATCGGCCCAGCAGGTCGTGATGGGGTACAGGGTCCCGTGGGTTTGCCTGGCCCCGCCGGATCACCTGGAGTACCTGGAGAGGACGGAGACAAGGCCAGTAACTCTAAGTAACAGTCTTCACACCAACATGTGCTTTTAAAAATCACCTTAATGTGTCATAAAGTCCAGGATGGAAAAAATGTTGTTACTGAGTTGTGCGTCCACCCTACTCTTATCAGGATATCATTGATTTCAGAGCTTTGTTTCAAACTTGTGCTTTGCTGTAACATGATGTTTGCTTGTCAATGCAGGGTGAAGTTGGAGAGCCTGGTCAGAAGGGTGCTAAGGGAGGAAAAGGAGAGCATGTGAGTAATGCTAACTTTCATCAATTTGCATGAATTAAAATTGATGCTATTTCTCTGTCATATCACTGCTGTTTTGTCGTTTTTCTCATTGTTTTTTGTTTGTTGGTAGGGTCCTCCTGGTCCACCCGGGCCAATGGGTCCTGTCGGTCAGCCTGGTCCTGCTGTAAGTGCTTTAACTCAAAACTCAACAACAATAAACACAAACTTAGTTATTTTATTAATTCCAGAGAAACCAGTATTTAAAATACATAAAAAGCAAAGATTTTTTTCAGGAAAGACATTATTGTGTTGTATTATACAGGACCTACCAATACAATAATGTGCTCAGGAAAATAAAAATGTAATAATAACACTACACCAATCATTACTGTACTGACGAGAAGTTAAGACATTGAACATTCAATTACTGCCATGAGTAGATGAAGACACTGTTTTCAGCACACTTATTTTTATCTCTCATGCCTTTATTTCTGTTTTTCTTCTTCTGTGGTGCAGGGTGCTGATGGAGAGCTTGGACCAAGGGGCCAGCAGGGGCCTTTTGGAGCTAAAGGTGATGAAGGATCCAGAGGATTCCCAGGTGCCCCAGGACCCATCGGACTGCAGGTAAAATAAAAGCCATAACACTCAAGGCAGATTGACTCAAATATTCATTAAATCTTTATTTCATACTTTGATACAAATATTTATATGAAGTTTTGAGCTTCACTTTGTGCAAAGGTGCTACGCTAAACAAAGTATTCATGTAACTATCCCCTCTGTTTTGCAGGGATTGCCAGGACCACCAGGTGAGAAGGGAGAGACAGGAGATGTTGGACCTCTGGTGAGTTTCAGAAACATGTGACATCAGTCGTACTGACTGCATCATTGACTTGTTTAATTATAATAACATTATAAATTGTGATAACAGCGTGAGCCTCTTTATGTTTCCAGGGTCCTCCAGGCCCTCCAGGACCTCGTGGCCCTGCTGGACCCAATGGTGCTGATGTGAGTGTTTACAACTATTATTTGTAAAATGACAACAATATGTAATTTAAATGGGTTACACCACAAAGAGCTGTTGTTGAGCTGTTATTATACTATTGCAACACTGTTGGTTGTAGCATGTTAAATGAGACTAAATGAGACCGTTCCAAAAACAGCAATAGTCTTGAATTTTGTTTTTTTTAAATAGCACAGCATGGTATGTTATATTGTGTATTCTATTAAGTGTTTTTTAAGAGTGCAATTTTAAGTTAGTTATTGTTAGGTAGGTAGGTAAAAAAGTAAAGTAGCTCTTATTTTCTTCTGATGACCACTTTGATGTAATTCATTGAATCTTTTTGTCTTAATAGTTTTTTTTGTGTGTGTTTTTCAGGGTCCCCAAGGTCCTCCTGGTGGTTTGGGTAATCCTGGACCTCTTGGAGAGAAGGTGCAGAGAGAACAAATTTTGGCATTGAAGCTATATTTCTGTATGCATGTATAAAAACATAAAAACTGAATTAATTTCATCTTATTCCGAGAACTAAAAGAAATACTGCTTGCTCCACAGGGAGAGCCTGGTGAGGGTGGACCCCCTGGAATTGGAGGGGAGCCGGGAAAGAAGGTGTCTGACCCTAATATCTTGTGGATTGAGTTAGCATGATATGGGGCCTTTACTGACTGTTTAATAGCATTCATGAGTTAACAAAGAGATCTGTGCTCCTGTTGGCAGGGTCCTCGTGGAGAGCGTGGAGAGAAGGGAGAGGCCGGACAACCTGGAACTGCTGGACCTGCTGGAGGAAGAGGAAGACCTGGAGACGACGGACCCAAAGGAAACCCTGTATGATATCCACAATGCAACATACACAAACACATGCACAATGACATTGCCAGACAGATCAATTACTTTAAACTTCATTACAGAAGGAAGAGAAGTGATTTTCTCTCAAAATAACTTTTTCTCCCAAATGTATTGCAAAATTGACATTTTGTTTTTATCTCTAACTTTAGGGTCCTGTTGGTTTCCCTGGTGATCCTGGTCCTCCTGGTGAGGTTGGACCCAGAGTGAGTATTCCTCTTTTGAAAAATACATGTCAGCATCTTGTCGATCAATAATGTATTCTGATTTCAAAGATGTTGTATGGCTGCACAGTTTCCAACAGATCAGTTCAGCTTGTTCCAAACACATGTTGTCATGATCTTTTTGCTTAACTAAACAATAAAAAGAAGAATCACTAACATTGATCTGCTTCACTTCAGGGTCAAGATGGTGCCAAGGGAGAGAGAGGAGAAGATGGTGAATCAGGAGAATCTGTAAGTCAAAAGATGCATTAATGCAAATATGTGAATGAATAGTTATAATAGTATCTCAGCGTCTTCAATCTGCTCTCTCTGCCTCCTATTGCAGGGTTCCCCTGGACCTCCTGGTGAAAATGGACCTCCCGGCCCCCCAGGAAAGAGGGTAAGGTCATCACCCTGGTCCTATCAGGAGGTGTTTGTATGTGGGCAGCACAGTGGCAGTCATGGTGCATTCCTCCATCATCCATCTATTTTGCTTCTTTCTTCCAATGTCACTGGCTCAAGCATTGTTTTGTGTGAAGGATAGGAGCTGGTAAATATTGTTAGCATCAAATCTGCTTTACCAAGTCAGCATTTGTTGTATGATTTGTGATGTAAAAGGACAAGAAACATTTTATTTACTTGGTAGTGAATGGCCTTTATTTGGGGCGCCTGAATAGCTCACCTGGTAGAGCTGGTGCCACATGTACCAA